CCAGAACCCAGAACAAGGAGGTGGACTACTCGAGGGGAAAAGGAATGCTTCATCACCCTACTTGGGTGCACAGGGAAAAGGCACAATGCTCAAAATGCAAGAGAAAAACTAGACTAGTGAGGTTGATCCCCCCAGCCCCCCACCTTTCTGCCACACACTAGCTATGCAGGCTGGAGGAGGAAGGTAGCTTCTTCTTTGGCCATTTGTGGGCCTTTTTGAAAATATGGATGGGCTGTGGGCTCTTGTTCCTTTCTTGAGCCCCAAGAAGACAGGGCCTAGCTCCCCTAGCGCTGGCTGTCCTGTCAACACGTGCACCGGGTTGGCCTGAGACTTGCGGAGATCCTCATGCCTCAGCCTCCCATGCCGTGCAAGGAGGGGCATTGAACAGCCAACGTGGCAGGGGGTTTGGGGAGCCCTGTCCTGAGGGAGTCGACAAGCCTTCCCAGAAGCCAGTGAAGACAAGGCTCCCGGGACTCTGCGGGGCACCCTGCGTAAATCTCCGGGCTCCAGGACCTGGCCAGCGAGGATGCCCGTTCTCTGGGACCCACGGCCTTCCAGAGCCGAAGCTGCCACACAGCCCACCAGCCAGTGTGTCTGGGCCCAGGGTTGGTCTGGGCGCAGGAGCACCAGAAGGGGGAGTTGGGGCGCAGTGTGTGTGTGCTCAGGCCTGGGAGACTGGCCACTTGCTGGGAGGCCCAGGTCCCCCCATGGTAGCGTGCCGTGATTGGAGGAGTGGCCGCCGGGGTGGGGCCCGGGACCTGGGTCACGAGGAAGAGCCCAAGCCCAAAAGGGCAGCAGCCCGGTGTCAGTCAGCAGGGAGGCGGCCTCACAGGGCCTAGCCAGAGCCAGGGCCAGGCAGGACTTTTGGAACCTGGAGCGAGTCCTAAGCACAGAGGCGCTCAGGCGGGGCCGCTGCGTGGAGAGGTCTGCAGCCGGGGCCCGATCAGCCAGATCTGGCTTGCCTGGCGCCCGGAAGAAGAGGGAGGCCCTAGGCCACAGCCTGGGGCACGCAGGGAACTAGAGGCTGTGGCCAGCATGGCCGCTGAAGGAGCCAGGCAACGCACGCCGCCTGGAGGGCGCTTCCTGGGCCAAGGAGCCGGCAAGGCCCGCTTGCCAGGACAGGGCTGTTTCCCTGCCGAAACCACCATGCCTCAGTGCTGAGGGTGAGCCTACCTCCGTATTTCCAAGAGATTGGGCAAGCCGTGGACAAAGCAGGGAAGGAAAGGCCAAAGGAGGCGTGCTTTCGGGGCGGGTGGTGGCGGGGCTGGTGAAGACAGAGTGCAGCTCGGGGAGGGGAAGAAAGAAGAGGGAAAGCAAGGAAGAGAAAAGGAAGGCAAGAAGGCAATGCAAGCAAGCAAGCAAGCAAGCACGCAGCTGGCGGGAAAGACAGTGTCCCGGGTCACACATCCGTGTCGAGTCACGCCCAGGAATGGGAGGGTGTGTGTGACCCTTTCCCTCTGCCTCCCGGAGATCCTGGGTTTCCCCCAAGCGTGCAGTGGTGCTGCGCAGGTCGATTCCTTTGCAATGAATTTCTTCATTATGGATTGCCAACGTGGATGACCTACAAATGAATAAAGTGAGGTAAGGGAAAGTAGAAAGGGTGGGAGAGAAAGGGAAGGAGAAGGCAAAGAATCCAGATATGTTAAGTACGTGTGCCTTACTCCCTCAGGTGAATGTGAACCTGTTTGCTGCAAACATGTACGAAGGTGCAAGCACAAGGTCCGAGTTCCATCCCTGGTAGAAACAATAGCAAGGACCCCAAACTTGTACTCATAAACACGCACTTTAAAAAGGAAAGCGAGTGCCGCAGTGTGGATAAGGACAGCGTCCTTGGGAAAACTGTGTCTCTTCAAAGAATTGAGGGTGTGCAATAATCAGATAGCCGGGCCAGTGGTATACCAGGCAGAAGTTGTTGGACCCGGAGCACAACTCTGAGCTTGGAAGAGATTTTGCCGTGAGAGAGGGAAGTTAAATGGAGGAGGCTGCTGTTATCCCAGGGAAGGTGCGAATCACTTGCCATTTTTGAGAAGAGAAATATGATTTCGACTATGTCCTTAGAGCACATTGATAGGATTTTGATGAATTAATCCCAGCTCTGGGAGCCTTAAGGGGAAAACAGTAATTGTTGGGGAGTTAAGGGTGAGTGATTGCTTCTTTGTGAGATGGTCCTTTTCGTTTCTGTTGACTGTCTGCCCCCTTTGTCATAGCCTCGGCCATGTGACCTAGACTCAGACCATCTCTTGTGATCCAGTAAAGTTTTCTAACACCCAGCTAAGCTTTGTCTGTGGTTAGATCAAAGAGCACTCAGGATAGCTCTCTCGATATTGATTGTCCTGTATGTAAGTGTAAAGATGCTGTTGTTTCCTTGTATCTTTCCAGAAATTAAAGTCTGATACAGCTGCCGCCGCCGTGCGACAACTAAACCCGCACGTCAGGGTAATGAGCCACCAGAATCGTGTGGGGCCTGACACGGAGCACATGTACATTGAGGATTTCTTCCAAAACCTGGACGGGGTGGCCAATGCCCTGGACAATGTGTCTGCCCATGAGTTTAGAGGGTTTAGGGCCGACAGCAGAGTTGCATATGTGCATGCTGGGGACGTAGTGTACACATACTGCCCTACTATGTTTCTGCCAGCTCTCATGTCTTTCCTTCTTCCACCATCCTGAAGGATTGTATATGGACCAGCGCTGTGTGTACTACTGTAAACCCCTGCTGGAATCGGGCACACTGGGCACCAAAGGACACGTGCAGGTGGTTATTCCTTTCCTCACAGAGTCTTACAGCTCTAGCCATGACCCACCCGAGAAGTCCATCCCGGCCTGCACACTCAGGAACTTCCCCAGCATCATCGAGCACACGCTGCAGGTGATCATCTTTGGCAGTGGGAGGCAAAAGAGGTTAGGCACCTGTAAAATGGCACTGAGATACCATCTTTAATGGCTACGATCAAAAAATCTAGTAACAAGTTCTCATGAAGTCATGGGGAACAGGGAACTCCTCTTCACTGGTGGTAAGCGAAACTCGTACAACCACAAAGGAAATACATGGAGAGTCCTTAAAACGCTAACAGTAGAATTTTCTTCTCATGTAGTTGTGCCAATTCCAGGTATCTTCCCCAAAGAGTTCAGCTAATGCCATTACACATACACAGGAATAGCCATGTTTACAGCACAACAATTTGTAACAGGGAGATCTTGGATACAGTACATGTCCACAAGCAGATGAATGAATGAGGACGATAGGATATTTATACACAGTGTAGCACCATGGGGCCATTAAGAGAAGTGCAGTTGAACTACTCGTAGACACACGGGAGCAAGTTGAGACCAGAATGTGAATGCAAATACACCAGGCTTACAAGCGAACGTACCGTTTTGCTTGGCTTCTCTTCTATGACTGACATATGCATATAAATTATATCACTGTATCCATATATATATATATATATA